CTCCAAATTTCACCCCCAGACACATACACGAATGCATACAAACAAACACAAAGCACCCCCCCCCCCCCCGAAATAAAACTTTTTTTTTTACATACAGCAAAAGTTAACCTAAATTTGTGTTTGTAAAGTAGGTGTTTTAATGTATGCCCTAACTGATTCACACAACTTAGATCTTTGAAGAGGCAGGCTTCCTATTTTTCCTATCAGCTCCAACCCAGGCTGGCTGAGAGGGATACATCATCCCAGCAGAAAGACATATATTCGATTAAAAAAATTACCCTCACTATGGAATATTGAAATCAGGTTTCCAGCGTGTGATAGTTAGCCCTATCCGTACGTTGTGTATTACTATCGTATCCATACGACATGGGGAGCTGTGCTACCACTTTCAAAAGAGGAAATTTACTCGTTAATCTGATCCGCATGCTTTGCATAGCAGTCTGTCAAAATGATTTTTTGAGAAATATTGAAAGTTTCAAAGAGATCTTCGTTCTAGAAGTATTCTAAAATGTGAAGAATACAACTCCAGGGGTACAAAATGACATCAGAGCGTACGGATAGGGTTAAGCGCCTAACCGCTACACCAGAGATGCCAGTAAGTTGAATTTGAAAACAATTTTTAGGGAAAAAAAATCAGTGGATGATAATATCGAATGATGTGAAAAGACACAAACCCCAGATCTACGCATCCTTGTGTTCAGACGCTACCCTGTCCTACACAGGAAAATGTCATGACATAATATAACAAAGATAACGATCCTACACAAAACATGAAATAAAGAAAACAAGGGAAAGATATTTCTATAAATTAAAATAATAACATAAAAAAACAAACAAACAAAATATATGTATTATGAATCAAAACCTTCAGAAAACAGAGACAGAATTAACGTTTACGTACGCACAGAAAAGTATTTTAAAAAGAAAGACAAAATGACACAGAACAACAACGACAACCCCCCCCCCCCCCCCCAAAAAAAAAGAAAAAAAATAAAAAAAGAATTAAATACAAGAATATTTAAAAATATAAAATACAAGTTTTATAATTGTGTGAGAGCGTTTCAAAAGAGCCCATAAGTCGGCAGATATTTAAAAAAACCCTGAGATATAACATTTTAACTTCTGAATCAGCTGTTGAAAAAACCCCAAAACAACACCTTTTGAAGTATTGCAGGTTTTCTACCTTAAAATTTATTTTAAAAACATGTATTAGAGAAAGACATCTCAAAATTTATCCTTTTATGTTTCTAAAAACACCCCAGTCCATTAAAAACTGCCACTCTCCCTGGATCCACTTGTAAAAATTGATTTTGATATTTGACTCTTTAATAACGTAGATTTCAAAGCACCATAACACAAATCAAAAATAAGATTTTGCGCATTTCATAGTTTACATGTTCTAGCTGAATAATGAAGTTATACCCCAAAACAACATATCACTAAGCGTTTTTGAATGACCGGAATGTGCGTTGTCAATGACTCAAGACAATGAACGTCAGTAAAAACATACATTATAGTGTACAGTGGAGCATTTATAATGTTTAGAAATACGAAGAAAAGCAAAACTGATGTGATTAGCCTCCGTGAAGAATTCAGTCAAATTTAATGTTGACCTGAATTTTCTGCTGCGTCTACCCTTGATGTGCACTAGAAGTGCCATTGGACTATAAATAAATAAATTGATTTTTAAAAAAGAAGTTTTTTTTTAAATTAAAGGATTAAGCCACTGCAACTCACGAGGTAGAGTAGGTTTGCTTACAGCTTTCATATAACTCAACTGACTTCATGTAGAATTAAAACTTACCAGACTGTGTTGAATGGTAACTCTCCTTAGTTTTTTTAGGGGGGGGGGGGGTCTTTTTTTTCCAGGTCCCATATTTCCTTATTTCACCCTTTTTGATTTCAGAATGCATTTTCATACTTCTTACAAATGAAATTGAGCTATATCCTTACGAAAATGTTTTTTGAAAGGTTAAACTTTTCTTGACGATAGAACTTTGCTCATGGCCTGTGATCCCCTTTTCACCTCTAGCTCGATAATGACTTTGCCGACATATGGGCCGTCTTGTCAGGCAGGCACACATACAATTAATGATTCAGCTGCTGGCACCTTCCCTGTATGGTTTTGAAGCTGATCATGATCAAGAAGCCAATCTGATCTATAAAACGAAGGAATGCAACTCCAGGACAAAACCACATGGTTTCAAGAAG